GTGAAAGCAGTACAGAATATAAAAAAACCCTCAACAAATCTTTTCTTTGCTAATGTTTATTACACTAATGTTTGTTTTCTTATGATTTTTTTTCTTTCTTTATATGCCACCATTAATTATAAAGATAAGAAAATGATTGGGAGGAAACTAAATGATAGAGTGTTAGAAATGCAAAATGATTCAAAATATTAATGTAATGCTAAGGATGACTGGGTAACAAATGGTACATTTGCCAGTATGCTTGACCTGACACAATTAATATTCCAGGTCATGCTTGGGTTTCCATGATGGAAGGTCTGAGGCAGAGAATTCTAGGGGAAAAATATATCTATTGTATATCTAATGTCTCTCTCTTTTTTTTTTTTATTTTCCCTGACGAGTCAGAACCATAGTCTTAAAAAAAAAATATCTGTGCTTTCACACCTCATTTGCCATATTCACCACTGGGCCACCATTCACCAGAAGGGCCTGATGCAAGGAGGTCAGTAAGAAGCTATTAGCAGAGTCCCCTCCTGAGATTTCTTTGGTCTTATTGAGGTGGAAGTTAGCATGACAGTACTGCAAATAACTCAGTTGTAGGTTTTTTAACAGTTAGCACAGATTTCCCCATAGTGTTTGTCACTTTAGAAAATTGTTCCTGGAAATGAAGTCCCAGAAAGCTGGCTTTGACAGAGGCCCTTCTTAGTTGTGAAGAACACGGGTACAGAAAAATGTGTCATTCTCCCTGCAACAAGAGGTACTTTTTGTAACCTATCATAATATTTTGGAGGGTAGCATATTTTCTTACGGACTAAAGGTGGGGAAAATATTGGAATCAAAGTATGAAGTAATATCTCAAGACAGATACTTTTCTACCATTGAAAAAGCAGTATTAACTGCAATGGTTTTGTAGTTGAGAGTATATTGTATTAAAGTAGGGAAAAGATGGACGCTTTTAACACATTGTACTGGTCTCAAGAATATATGTAATTGTATTAACTACCAAAGGCTTTAATCCTCCAGATTCTTAGATTTCTGCAGACTGCCAGCTCCCTGCAGAGGATAGAGTGAATAGGGCATCCATCACCGCACAGCACATGTGCAAGAAATTATGAAAATAAGACTCTGATTTGCAGAGATATTTAAAAATGAAGGGAAGTAATTTTGCCAGAGATTGGTCTGAACTGGAAAGCAGAATCAAACTCATCCCCTTGTCTCTCCTACCAAACTTTGCCAATTTTAAATTTAGGCCTAAAACCTTATCACAAACCTTGGGGAATTTAAAGTAAATTAGTATTAATTTTATCTAGCTAGATACTAACTCTGCTGATTGCTCTGCTATCTGTCTGTTTGAATACTTGAACATATATAATTAAAATGTAAAGTAATTAACAAGGATTGCTTGAAAAATTATTATTTAAAAATGCACTTCATAATCAATTTTGACCCAGATCTTACAAAGAGTTTTAACTGTAGAAGAAGCAACAACTTTTAAAGTGTCCAACTGGCCTCACTAAAACTCCAAATCTTTTTTCATAGTTGGTAGACTATCTGTATGTGTTTAGCCTGAAAGTAGGTAAAAAAAGAACTACAAAAGATAGCTCTTTGTTGAGACAGCTTTTCAGCAATAATAATTCAAAAGTCACTGAATCAATGGATTCCCACACCTATTATGGCTAATTTTGGTGTCATTAAAAGTGCTAAAAGCCAATCCTATTTGTGCACCCTGAGATATTCAGCAGCATTTCACAGTGTTTGAACCCTTTATGAACTATATTTTTTTCTACTGCCAAACATTTAAACAAAGAAATGTCAAATAGAATATACATAGTATCTCAATATAGATTGCAAAATGCAGTTTCAGAAAGCCATTATACTCACGGAGCCATTTATACTTGCTCTAAGTATGACTAAAAGAAGCAACGCCATTTCTTAGAGCCCAGACAGCACATCAATTGTTATTCTTGCCTGTAATTCTTCAGAGGAAAAATGTTTAAATTATTTAAGATGTTGTATTTTTCCACTTTGAGGAAACAAAAAACAAAACCCAAACCTGTGCTATGTAGGTTGAAATAATCTAATTTTTTTTAGGTTAAAATTTCCTACCCAATTTGCTTTTCAACTTTTTAAAATTTATTTTATTTTTTAAAGAAAGGGCTTAAAAAGGGGTGTAAATTTTGGGCAGATGCAGCCCTGATCAGGATTTGCTACTGATCAACAAACCCGTGCCCGCCAACTGCAGAGAGTTGTTATTATGCCATGGTGGTTTATTCCATATCATCGTGATTCTCAATGGTGCACGTGGAGATGTTTTCCTTCTGGAAAACATTTACATTTTCAGTGACGTTATAGTTTTCTATAAAATATGTGTTTCACAGATGTACCGTGAGAGAGCAATATCTCTCCCACTAGCTACAGACCTCTGCAGATATATGGCATGGCTAGAACGCACAATCTCCACATTAGGTAGGATACAACAGCTGAACATAGATGGCGTAGGAATGGGTGGAAAGATAAAGTAACAATACAATGAGCAGTTCAGTGAGATGTGAAAAAAAAAAGGTAGTCACAAGCAATCACTTTTCTATTTTACTGTTATCAACAGAATGAAGGCAAAAATTAATTGATCAGAATGTAGGCACGTCCGATGGCTATGGTAGGACTAACGGGTGAAGAGCCATAATGACCATGGCATAGAGTTGCTTTGTATATCTCCAGCATGGAATCTAATTTATATGGAAGACCTTGACTGTGGCATTTTATATTTGAGAGAACTTGTGCAACAAGTATACAGTGTAAATGCATTCAGTAATTGTGGAACAGAACAATAAAGCCCGAGACAATATAAGGAACTTACGTTTAGGTAGCACTTACAGGTCACCAAGTGTTTGCAAGCAAAAATGTACTGGGCTGATAAGAAAATTGCAATAGGATAATGTATGAAATACTACAAAAATAATAGCAGCATTAGGAGAATCTGTACCTTTATGAGGTGTTAATGTGAGTAAGAGCCAGACTTGTAGAGCCAAACTTTTAAGGTGCAGCTGGATTTTACAGATCATACAGGTGGACCTGCAATTTTGCATTCACTCCAGTGATTCTGCTTGCCTGCTATTTGAAGCATGGATCCCTGCCATTTCAGTTGGGCATCCCGAAGAGCTGAAGGAACAACCAGTGGTTGTTTGGCATACATATGTTTCTACCACTTATCTCTATTCATGTCCTCTTTCCCGTTACACATTTAGACTGACAGTATAGTGGAATAGTTTATAGGGTTTGCACTAAGAGGGGAACATATAACAGAGGGCCAAAATAAATTGTCATTAGGGCCAGATCACTTACAGAACTGAAGAATATAGCCCATAAAATTCTGAATAGCCCAACAATATTTTGAATAAGCTACCATCTCTGAGTATTTTTGTCCATTAAACAATAAGTTTTATATGGGCCTTATTTAACTGTTCTGAAGCAAAAAATTGGAACTTCCCAGTAGGATATGTTAATGAAAAATGCATTAGAGCTAATTGGGGAGTGTTCAATCCTCTCAGCCCCAAGAGATTAATACTTTATGAGGAGGCTGATGCTCTACTTAGTTTTCTCATGGGTCCTCGGTAGTGTTCCAAAGGAGAAATGCAAGATTTTAAACATTTACTCTTTTCCTTACCTTTCCCCACATCATGAAAATGATTTCTTTTCCTACTATTTTTATTCAATACTTCTTAGCAATTAAAATTATGATAAAAGCAAAGGACAATATATTTTAACTGTGCAAATCTACTTTAAAAGTCTTAAGAATACTGCGAGTGTACTGTTGTAGAAAATATAATTATCCTTAAAGCAACTCAGTATCTTTAATTTTTGCCAGGTATATTTTAATCACATATCATTTTTTATAGGAGATTTAGTGGCTTTGTGCAATATGGTATAGGAATTCTCATGTTTGACAGTTCATAATTAATTCAATAAAATCACATATGTCTATTTGAGAATTGTTTATAAACAACTGATAAAATCCCTACATTTATAGGAACGATTTGGGAACAGTCTGTCACATAATTTTGACTTGCCAGATATTCACAGATTGTTTATGATGTAGATTGCTAATTCAGAATTTGAAATGTATGCTTTATATCAGTAATTGTTATATTAGATCACACTAGTGATGCAATTGATGTATCCTGAAAAAATGAAATACCAAATTCAGTGAAGAATAAATCTTTCATTTTAATTCACAATTCAGAAATTTTTATTCTAAATTTTTGTTTTTCATAAGTTTTATACTATTAGAACTAAATACTTTTGAATAGTTAAAGGAATTTAATGTGAACATTTTGTTGGAAAAAAGCAATTACTGTTTTTTGGTATTCCATAAATTTTCTAGTATTTCCCCTTAACTGATCACTCAGTTTTACTTTTAAAAATGCTGCAGTTGCCACTGTCTGTCCACATTGTGAGTCAGCTAGTACAGAGTTTAAAGGGCCAAGAGTTATGTCCCCTTGCATAAGCATTTGTTTTACTCTTGAAGTATGTGTTTGGAAATAATAGGTAATATATTTTTGTTGCTATTGTATGTAGGAATTTAAATTGGAATTTAAATTAAACTTTAAATTTCAGAACAACTATAATAGTTTGCCTTTAAAACTAGAGGCAAATTTGTACACTTTTAATTATTTTTTGAGGGAAAACTGGCGTGTTTCTTTGACTACTGCTGTGGAAAGTGGAAGATTGGATGTGACTGAAAGAAAACATGGGTTTGAGACACAGGAAGCTCTTCCTTCCATAAAATGAAAGTTATCCCCATTTGAAGGGCTGAAACCCAGATTATACATTACTTTTGTAACTGTAATGCGATGCCCAGAGATGCATTTAAACTATAGATCTATCCCATGTCAGCAGTCATCAGAAACTTTGTGTAGAACTGTTTATTATATAGTTTTTTTAAATTGGTTTGATTTGTAGAATAAATGCAAGAATGAGTTCTAAGCTAGCTGAAGTCAAAGATAACCCTATCTTCTGCTCAGATTGCAGGCATCTACAATTCGCCATTCAGAAAATCCCCAGATCCAATGGAACTGCTGCTACGGAAGTCAAAGCCGTTGAGCCACAGAGGGCAGCAGATTAAGAGTCCCTTTGCCTGCGAGCTCCATGACTGGCCAACTTGTAGAAGGCCTCCAACTTTCTCCACAGCACAGCCTCTGCCACCTATTGGCAGACAGAAACCTCAGGTAACATTTTTCAGTGTCTCTGAGGCAGTTTTTGTTCATATCTTTTATCATAGCTTATCATAGAATATCTCGAGTTGGATCATTGAGTCCAAAAATCCCTTTTGTGGATTTGTTTTTTATATATAGATCTAGTGCTTGCATTCAGGATATAAAGTCTTTGAAACAGATTTGTCTTAAAGAAAAAGAAACCTAGGTGGTATGTAAAAACAGGGAAATATGATTCTTTGGACTTTACTTTTGTTCTTTGGGGAAAAAAAAGTCACTTCTGATATTTCAAAGGGAAGGCCTGACATAATTGAATATCAATTTTATGATTCATTAGAGGTAGAATTCTTAATTTCCAATTTTAAATCAACAAAAAAGTAGGAGAAATGAAAGGTAATAGGACAAATTAACCAGTTAGTGATAATTAAAGTGATAACATTTTCCTCTTTTTGTAATTGTTTTCCATATGAAGGCCAAGAGACATCCTCTCAGTATAGAATAGTTCCTCCTCTTTTGTGCAGTTTTTCTCATCTTTATGTCATGACTGACTTGTCCGTAGCAGGACGAGTCTGTATCGGTGGTGGGACATGAAGGCAAAGGCAATTGGGTTAGAGCACGAGGAGAAGATGCAGGCCTGCCAGAATACCTCTGGAGAAGTAGAGGTGAGCCACACAGAGGTCCACACTGCTTATAACAGTAAGGATCAACTTCAGGGCAATTCTCCACCTTTGTCCTTCCCTCCTTATGTTCTCCCTACCTTGACTGCTTGAGCTTCCTCATTGAATGAACTCATTGACTCACATTAGAATCGAGACAAAGTGTGAGCCAACAAACAGTTTGGGTGATCAGGGAGTTTGGAGTTGAGATAAATATGACATTATAGCTTTACCTTCTGGGACCAAAGGGGCTATGATGGTTCTTCAGTGGGATGTGACTGAATGCACTGTTTCTCAGGATAGAGGGGAAGATTTTGCCTAGTGGACATGGTATAGGAGTCATGCTTTTAAATAAAGAGGGAACTTGGAGGTTTTCCGTTGTTAAGTTGCTCTTGCAAAACCGCTTTACTTTATATACGAAGTATCTTACAAGCTCCTGTTTGGATTTCTAATGTTTTATAGACCTTTCTAAGTTCAGACGCATGCACAGCAGTCGTGCACAGATAGCCTTTTAGAACAAACCAGAAGAGTTTTGTTTATTTGCTGCACCTCAAAGAGGGAATTTACTATATAATACTTTAATCCTTTCAGCACCCTGGGATGTACACTGTGGGGTAAATTTTCAAAGCACAGTGCGTGGATTTATCTGCGCGACTCTTACTGATGTTAATGGGAGTCACACGGCTAAATCCCTGAACAACACTTTGACAATTTAGGGTTGTATGTCTAAGAAAAGGACACTGGTTTGAGCTGATGAAACAGCTGGAAATGAAAACCCATCAGAACGCATCATCCTGAAAGTTGTCTGGTGTGACAATAAGGAATTTAATTACTAGATATACTTGTGTCCTAGTTCTCTGTGGTAACACTTTTTGGCACCAAGCTTCTTTTTCTAATATCTATCAGGCCCACTGTGAGTCACTTGTTACTTCACTGTTCTTTCGGGTATCTAAAATTTGTATTGCCTATAGGGTTGGATATTTTATATGAGAATGTCAATTATATATGTTTAAAAGAACAAAAATTAGCTATCTAGCAGCTTTCTCTTAGGGAAATGGGTATTTAGCATTTTATAAGTAAGCTCTGTGTGTGTAAGATAGTGTATTTAAAAGCAAAGTTTTAATGATGCTTATACATCAGTTAGATCTATCATTTTTATTACTGAGTTAACTAGAATTACAGTTTCGTGGAAACACAGATAATGCTAAAATTAGTCATCTGTTCATTAAAAGGCATTAATAACAGAAATCACATTGCCATTTTTAGGGGATTTTTTGCATGCTGTTAGCTCTCCTGGAATGGGGGCAGTGAAGAACGTATGACTTCATGTAGATCATAATTTTTATTATGAGTTTCTGATTTTATGGTAAAGTAGTACGAATGCCGATCTGCTAACCTTTATTTGGCAGACCAATTGGTAGCGAGAAGATTTATGCTACTCAGTACAAATTCCAAACATAGAACATAGAGTTGTGTGAGTTGCTTTCAGGGTGAAAACTGTTGGTTGACTCCCTCCCTTCCTTTCCTAGCCTGACCTCCCCAGGAAGATTTCCATTTTGAAGGGGGATGCCTGAAATGCTTGCAGGCACTGCCAATTTGAAAACATTTGTAAGCACCATTCTACCACAGATTCCACAAGCCTTAAAGTTACTCTTATAAAATGGACATTAGGTAAATGGATTTTTTAGAGGTCTTGTCATCTTAGATATATTCCTTAGGTGCCTATTGCTAGGTAGGTTTCTTTAAATACATGATTCAGAGGAATGGAAAAATATCTTAATATTCTAACATATATACCCCACTTTCATTAGTGATGACACAGTCTTGTTTGAGAGACCTTTGCTTAGTTACACTCTTTCCCCCCTCCTTCCATTAGTAGTTGGACTCTGTTAATTTCATTTGAACTATGGATTGAGAAAGAGTTAGAAGGTCTTAGAAATTAAAGACGGAAAAAAAATCCTTGCTTGGCTACCTGATTTGGCCCTTACCCTGATGGAATATGAGTCAATATTTTACAATGAAGAAGAAATACAATATTCTGAAAGACTAATTTCTAAAAGCAACCATATTTATCTCGATATTTTTTGACAATAGTACATTTCTTTCTTCTTTGCTCCATATATCCACTTCATGCAAACATCTTACAATACAGAGTATTCATTTGATATTATAAATTTTAAACTTTTTTTATAATTTGATCATCAGATTATATATTACTAGAACATTGCTTACTAGTTTTAGTGACCTGTTCTAGTATTAATTATTCTCTCACAGGCAATAACACTTTTCATCCTGGTTTTAGAGACTTATTGTGGTCAGATTAAATGAATGTATTTTTTTACACTGACTTAGAAAGTAGAAGCAAGAAAATATCTGCAAGAAGTGTAAATACTATGCTCACTTGCTTACTAGGACCTTTAAAAAGATCGCCAAATCATGATGCTGTGCCTTTAAAAAGAAAAGTTCCAATAAAAATCCATTAACTACTTTCAAATATAGCAATCCTCCTGTCCAGCTGTGAAAAGTACTAGATGATACTTATTTGCCATTTGTGTTATTTACGGTCCATGACTTTTATGGTAACTGGTTCCTATTATTGGTTTCTATTAATGTAAAACATAAGTGAACATAAATGAGGCGTGAATCATTTCTTTTTATTAGCCCCACAGTCTTCACTCAGTGCTTGCAGTAACTCCAGCTGTGACTTGTTAGTGATAACCTATTTAAAGAAGGATATCTTTAAGAATAAAGGCTGTGATTAGGATTCTTTGTCTGTTCATAGTTTGAGAAGGTTTCACTAGTTCATTGCAGAATCAACAATGATGAAAAAAAATAAAAATTAATTAGCAACACTTCTAAATCCAGAGTTGCCACTAAACTGTCCTGAGCGTAATATGGCACTAATTATACTCCAGGTAAGTTCTTACTGGTTAGTACTAAAAGCAAGATATAGGATATGTCACTTTGACAGTGCAGGAAAGGACTTCCTGCTGCTGTTTATCTGTGTTGTTAAATGGTAGATGCTGATATGATCAGTTATTAAACAATATACTCTGGAAAAAAGATATATATGTGTATATATAGAGAGAGACTTGTGTAAGAATTATGAACTTTTTTTTTAGGAATAATGAAATTAACGTAGAATTAGACTTTCAAAAAATGGTCTATACACCTATATTATTGAAGTCATTGAATTGCGTTAGAAGAATTATGTCTTAAGTCATGTATTAAGTTCCCTTCCAGGTAGCTTTATAGTTAAATTGAAAAGAGCATCTTTAAGGTAAAACATTATTTATCCTATGAAAGGAAAAGACTTAAAGCTTCCTGCTTAAGCAGAATCTAGATGCAGTTAATTCCTGAGCATCAGATTTTATTTCACCAATATTTTTCTCTAAGGAAAAACTAAGTTTTCCTAATCAGTTCTAACAATGTATTGTTTTAAAATAATAAATATTTATTAGTTGTTAAATAAATCTGGAGCGCGCATTTCTCATTCTCTCTTTGGAGCTTTAAAGCATGTTATCAACCTTTGTGTTATCTGTAACTCTCTATCAAAATGTACTGCTTTAATTATTTTGGAAGAAAAGTCTTGCTACAGTTCCCAGACATTCTGTGTCCTCTTTCATCAGTGATGTGTCATGAATAAAAGAAGGGAAGAAAAGAACTGTAACCCCACAATAAAACACTTACATTATCCTATACCTTTCAGGGGCCTTTCCGCGATACTGCTGAAGTATTGCGGCAGCGCTACAAGCCTTTGGAACCAACCTTGCGAGTGGCAGCATCAATCAATTCACCACTAGAGAAGGCCAGAGAGGAAATGAGAAGGGAGGAATGGAGAAACCGTATACATGACAATGAGTAAGTTCTTTGTTTTTTTCTTATATTGTTATGAGAATGCTTTCTTTATTCCGCTGCTTTCAGAAACCTTTCATGCCTGACAAAATGAAATGTCAAACATGACAGCTTACTAGCAAACATTCTATGTACATACTTCTAAATTCTGTGTCCTTAGATTATAAACTGTTCAGGGCAGAAACCCTATCTTGTAATTGTGTGACATGTGCCATCCACATCTATGAATCTATAGAAGAACTTATAATATGTGATGCAACAGATGGGTTTAATGGGAAGTAAGAAAACAAATGCAAATTCTGTTTTGCCACATGCACATTGCCAAGGAAAAAATACTGTTTCAGTCTTCGTATTCAGGGAGCTTACAGACTATGGGAGGAAAAAATGGTGTTGCATGCCAATGAGACTTGCTTTCTCTCCCAGTAGACTACCAAAGCTCACTTGGAAGAGAAGGGAGCATATGTTGCACATGTTAGAACATGATGCAAAAACTGTAATCATCTTTGAAGCAGTTTGGTTTCCTAAGCCATAGCATCTGTAATAGTGTCAGACAGGCCAGTTCTTTTCCATACAATCCCAAATACAGACATAATCCATCCCAAAAGATTTAAGGCTTCTGTCCCAAAAGACTTAAGGCTATTGCCAAAATATTTCCAATTCTTTTCTTACCATGATGGAACTCTTTTGTCCAATCGTATTAAAAGCCTGTTAAGTCACCTGCTCTAGCTTTGTAGTTAACTAGAAAAAATTGATGTTTTGTCAAATTTTCCCTTGAATTCACTGCTCTTGGCAATCCTTTGACACTTTAATACCAGAATTCAGGAGAGAAAGGAATCACTTTTCCTCATGAGCAGCCTGTGATCCATTGATTCACTGGGACACAATGCTTTGCTATCTTTGATCTGTTTCAAGCTTTTCTATCAGCTCCATGTTGCCATGTGTCAGCTTCAGGACTGGGACTTAAGAATGCCAGAATCAATTGCATTTGCATGGTTTGGCTTTTATGTTTTTATTGTTGGATCTTTTTCTTCACATTTTACCCGATTTAATATTAACAGTGACTTTAAATGGAAATTCTACTCAAAAACAGTTTTGAAAGACAAAAAATCTCTTAGTTTGGCAACTTCACTTTTAGGCGATGTTATTTTTTATATTTGGTTCCAAGAATGAAATATAGTACTTTTTATTTCTTTCATACTGAAAACATAACTGAGTTAAGTCACAAGTAAAAATGTACTTCAGTTTTCTATTCCTCTCTGTATTCTTTCATTTATCTGGGTGAGGGGAAAACAGCTTAACTTTCACATCTCATCTTAAATCTGGGCCTTTTTAAAAAAATTTTATTTCTAGCTTCTGCTAGTGAAATTAAAAAAACCCCAACAAACCACTAGGTAATAATAAATATAATTTATTATTATATTAATAATAATTAATAATAAAAATAATACCTCTCATATAAAGTGTTCTTTTCACTGAATAAGTTTTGACTGATGCATTCCAAGTGAGGATGGATGATATCCTTCATTTATAGGGATGACTATATTGCCCAGTCTTTATTTGATGAGGTTTACCCCAGACATCACTATGTCAACAGTTTCAGAAGGTCAGATCTTGTAATAAATATTTCACTGACTCTCTTCAGTGAGTGAATTGTGAAGCTTTGGTCTTGTACAGTTTAAGTTTGAAGTCTCCAACTTTGACAGATATTAATTGATCAGGGGTCTGTCTTTACCTTATGGGTAAGGAAGCATTTAGTGCCATCCTTAACGCACAGAAGCGATGTCCTAACACCAATGATTCTCAGCTTCATGCACGCTAAATGCAGAGTGTATTATACATTTTCAGGCTGTGATCATTCCGTTTGCGCTTCATATTCAACCAACCATGCAAGGGTCACATCTGTAACCTTGAAAAGGTGATGACAGAGTTGCAGGTCATCATCAGCACTAGTAATGCTGCAGCTGCTGTGTGGGATGCCAGTCTCCAGGGAGGAGTCAGCAAAGGGTTACTCAGATTCTACAGTAGTTTTTTCTCAGCAGTGTCTATTATGAATTGACAAATTTCCGTCTCTTTCTATGTAATTGTGTACTTTGGGACTGTATTTCTTACTGGTAGTGCTTCCTATACTGATTATTCTTCTATTTTAGAAAATAAGGAGAGGATGAACAGTGGAAGTGTGTGGCATTTGTTGAGAAAGCTCGTGTTTGCATAAAATGACAAACTGAATCCTTGATCTGTATATTTCCAGAGTGAGTATTGTGTGATATCTCTTAAGATTGAAAAATTGTCGCTGTATACCTGCAATTTCCAACAACATTCAGAATTCCCACTCACCTCCGATTATCAGGGTTCTTTAAAGTGCTAATATGTTTTCTCTAAGTGTTTCAAGCTCCGAGAAAGTTTTTGCTTCTGATACAATGCAGAAATAATTGAAAAAGCTGTGGGAGAGTTTGAGGCAGGGAGAAGCAGTACAAATGGAAGCAAGAGAGAATGTTGTGCTTACTTAAAGCAACCACTGGAATTTCCTATTTTGTAATGAAAGAGCAACTGGGTAATCTTGCCTAATAAGAATGATTCCTTTTTCTCATGTAATTGAAGCTGTTACTGCTTTATTGTGCTAATTTTCATATAAATGAAGTGATTTCCCCCTCCGCTTTGGTAGGAATGACAATTGGACTCCTTCGGGATGGCCACTTAATAAACTAGTGTCTAGTTTGAGACACCAACTGCTGGATCCAGCAGATTTAGATCGCTAAGCATGAGAAGTTCTTTACTCAGTTGCATGCAGCTGCATGCTGGCCTAATTTTCCAGAGAACAAAAATGTAAATTATTTTCATTAACTTTACTGAAATCTGTCTCACATAATATGCCTCATGCTTCAAAGCGTACTATTAAATATCTTTATAAAGTCAACATAAATCAGAATGAGTTGCAACGTGATCATAGAATAGGGATAAACCAGCAATAGTGTAAGGCTGAGGTTTCCTGATTTATTGTAGTCTTCTGGTGTGACATCAGGCTAGTCATCTCAGCTTCTAGCTATGTCCGTGCTCAGTGCTGTACCAGAGTTAGCCAAGCTAGTCCCGAACACACTGGTTCACTTGTGTGCAGCAGAGTGTAATGTTTGCACACCCTGCCTCTCACATGCTGTGTGAACACTGCAGCACCAAGCTCCTCATGGGCTTATTCTCAGCAAGATAATGCTTTCCTTTAGAACCACTTAGGTGCTTCTGTGCTACACAGTGCTGTGCATGAAAGGTACACTTACAGAGAAGTTAACGATCTAAATAAGCTCTATACTTGGAGAGCATCAGTGTTATGAGCTGCCTGGTATTAATGGTAATAAAATTTAAAAAGCAAGTCGCTTTGATAAGATTTAAGATTTAAAAAAATCTTTTAATTTCTACATTTATAAGATCTTTTACTGCATTTCTGACTTAGCTGCAGTGAAAAGGGCTACTACATTTTATGTCATACAAATATAGCACATCTGAAAACTTTTTTCAAATTATACTTAGTTTTTCATATGCCTTGCAACTTCAGCAATTTGCATATTTTCCGGACTGTTATTGTATTATGATAAACAGGGATTATCATATATTTTCAGATAATGTTTTCTTAACAATTCAACTTCTATTTGTAACTCTTCCATTTATTTTAATTACTAGCACAGTGTGCAACATTTATTAATCAGCAGAGTCTTTTTAAGTTAAAATACTAAATTAGCTAACCCCATTAACACAGAATACTCCAAACAAGCAGTAATAGGAGAGGTAGTTACTGTGCAAATCGTATTATACATGCGGGTGCTCTAGGGCACAGTTAAGCATGATTACGCTCTTTTGATCCAGTATTCCTCTGCTTCTTCCAGCTAATTTCCACTGGAAATTTACAAAGTAGCGCCTTCATTTTTCCATCTTAATTTTTCTAATGAAGTGATGGTACTTTATAACACTGGGGATGCAGATAATAAGTCTGTGTATAATTAAGAAGTTCCAGAATTTGCTGCAGAAGAGATCTCTTTTACTTCCTACAAGAACTAGACTGTGCTTTTCTTTGCCACTTTACATTATCACAGACGGGGGTTAAACAAAAACGGCCAGAGGAGTCTTAGATTTACTGACGTTAGGATAAAAGTGATTGATAATTGATTGAAAAAGTATGTATTTAGTATATTACCGTAGACAATATGTGTAATAAGGCACCCGAAATAAGTTTCTTATGGAAAAAATACTGCACTAAAGGTAATCTGACTAGATATGTTAAGTAAAGCAGACTGTCTTTACTTTTGTAAATAACACTTTGATTTTAATATGCACTCATTATGAACTAAATAAGGGCTGCCCTACTGCAGTTTTTTGCTATGGAAAAGCACTGTCCTTCTTCCTTCGTTCCCCGAGTTAAAAGATAGACAGTTTTGGATTTGATGAAGAAATTACTTCAGGTTTAAACAAAATTTGAAAGCTTAAAATTGATTTCATGTTTTATTTAAAGAAAAAAAAAAGATTAAAGATTCACAGGTTCCCGATAGAGAAGCATAGTTTGTTTGGAGCTAATAATTCATGGTGGTCTTCAAAGTGAGATAAAATTGTTTTATTTGAATTAGATCAAGACAACAAGGAATTGAATTGCTATTGCATAGAACCACTTTAGATAAAAATTTAACAACATTATCACACATCTAGAGTTAAGATTTTGGTAGTATTTTTACTACTAAATTACAAAAATGTACAGTACATAGAAATATTATGAAGGTTTGAAAAAACACGTAAGCATAATATTCCTTTTAGTTCTTTCGTTTTAGTATTTCTTATTGTGCCCTGATAGTGCAGCACGTATGGCATTCTGGCAGTAGATCTAATGCCAGTTCTTTCTCAGAAGCCTGGGTAAAGTTTGAAGCATTTCTGGTATCAGGATTACATGCCTGCATTGCTAGACTGCTGGGATTTTGCCTCTTGGGCAGATCCAGAGAACGTGCTGAAGGACCACTCTGTTTTTTTGCTGCCATTTAAATTCAAGAAAAAGTGAATGCCTCTGAACTGTGTCCTGTTGGTAGGTACCATATAGCATTGGGACGCTGCCGCCCAGCAGTAAATGATGGACCCGACAAATCCTCTTTCCTGTTTGCGCTGCTGCTCCCTCCTCTCACATTGCCATAGACCCCAGAGCTCAGTACCTACTGCTGCTTCTATCATCTCAGTCGATCCAACTGGAAATCCTTCAGCGTCTAAAAGGCCTCTTCCATCTCCTGTCACAATAGTGAGAAATATTACAATAAAAGAGAGAATGGAGGGAAGAAGTGGTATATGAGGAGATGCAGGAAGAAAGATCATGAGGGGGTAAAAATTAGGATTAGAAAGATGAAATTAACAGTAGCAGGGAGGTGCAGGATGGGATGAGTGAAGGGTGAGAGAAAGCAATTTTTATTTTTGCTAACAACAAATATCTAGGGTACCTCTTGAAATTTAAATACAAGCCACTAGCAGCTGTCAGGTCCAGGATTGGCTATTAAGTCAAGGCTTCTAGGTCTTTTTTCATTAATTAGGTTCAACATAGCGTGGTCCTGGCAACAGCGCAGCTGGCCGTCACTACCAGTGACGCTGCCAGCTTTGATCCTGGTCCTCCCTCAGGTTGTGTACGTGTCATACTGCTATATGTAGAACCTGAGATAGATAGTTTCCCGTTTTGGGTTCCAAATCTTTCCCCCTGTCTTGAATGTATTCTTTGGCATATCTCTCATTCAAGCTTTTGTGGTAGTTGAAATGAAAAGAATTTTCACTTTTAAATTTATTTCTTTAGGGAAAGTTCACCTCATATTAAATCATCAACTTTTGGAAAGGCTTAGCTTATACTAACTGTTTTATGGCATGGTATAACATCAATACAGAATTTAATTCTTCTTTGATCCTACTGCTTCTGTCTCTGTCATATTTACTGAAAACCTTCAAGAATTTCTGAATTTACACTTAAATCACAAGGAAAAGCTGAAACCCAGATGTGAGAATCCTGTGAGTGAGCTTTTTGTGGAAAAAAACTATTGAGGTCTAAACTTGTGCAGTTGATAATGGCATCATACCATTGTCTGTATTTAATTTTCCTCTCCTTCCATCACTCTCTTCTGTCACATTTAGAACACATACTGTCATTAATTTTGGGAAAAGCTGTGTCAGGTGTATATATAGAGCTACAGAACACAATACCATTACTGAAGTGTTTTGCAGCGCTATTGCTTTTTACTATGATTATTGGTTGTGGGGGTATAATGTCTTTTGTATGACTCACATTAATTTGGTTACCCTACTTAACACAAAAAAATTGTTTTAATGTTCTTTTTAATTACTTATTCACAGAGTAACGAAAATTCTTACTTGCTTTAAATAGACGTTGAATTTGCAAGCATATGATCCTTTCTTGTAGTTAGATCATTATCACTATAAGGATCTGCCCACCTCGCTCTGACAGCAGCACTATAAACAGAAGGAAAAAAAGAAAGTTTCTGCTTCAGACTACTTCATACCATTATACCCAATTACATTATTAATATTCTTTCATTTCAGTTTTAATTTTTTTTATTGTTCAATGTTCTTCTCCAAAAATTCATAGTTGCTTTAATTTTTTTTACTCAGCCATAGACATACATTCCAGGCTGTACAGCACATACTCCAGATAATGTTCTTAGAGGAGATACGCAGCAGAATGCAGATCACATTTGTACTAAACTACATATAGAACATACTGTTAGTTGTGTCTTAAAGTGTTACAGTATATGTATTTTTTTTGTTTGGAAGCATGGTAGAACATAGATTACTCTGAGTATTCACTTGTCAAAAAGACAAAGATTAACTGATCCACAGTAAAATCAAAACCTCTATATAGGAAATTTTATAGGGAAAACTATAATAATTTACTTTATCTTCTACTTTCCTCAAGATTTTTTTTGCCATTTTTTGTATAAATGTTACAGACACAGTATTCATATTAAATTATGAATGCTATGGCTCAACTAAATTCTATGCATATATGGGCAAATCCCTAAACTGCTAGCCTTGTCTTCTCAGCTATCCAATCCCCTGAGAAAGCCAATTTTCTTTCATGTCTGAACAAAAGAAAAATGTACTATTAAAATGCAATTCAGAAGTGATAAAAACTGCAAGTGGAGCAGCCGGCTCACAGCACCTTCGATGTATTCTCTGGGACACTGGGGCCACATTAATTTTTGTGTGTGTGTGATGTCCATCCCATGTGCAAATTAGCATTACAAGTACCATAATCTGTCTTATGTGAGAGTGTCCTTTCCCACGAGTATACACATGCTACTATAGCTTTGTATAATTTAAAAGTCTGCTAACTCAGTGTTTTTCTTTTGCTAACTTTACATGACATTTGTTTGTGGTACTTGATAGGATAAATTGATATAGCTGGCAAGATTCTAAAATAGTTTCTTTTTATGGAGTGGAAAGAAAGAAATGTAACTTAAGAAAACAAACACTCAAACAGTTGCTGATGGATCAGTTAGTTCAAATAAATAATTTTCTGAGTCTGAGAGCTGAGAGACAAAGAAAAGTATTTTAACCCCCATCTTTACCAAAAACTTGTTTGACTGTCTAACTCATAGGGACTCTGGATTCTGAAAAGCTTTCAGCTAGGAAAAGGTTTTAATTAACTACACCTGTTGTCGTGCCAGTTAAAGTGATGTTTTAAACTTCTGAAGCATATATTTCTAATTTTACTGTATAATAATTTTTCCTGCACTTGTAGAATAAAGAATGCATGTTGCTTTTTCAGAATACCAGCTTAATTCACAACGTTTTACTTGATATAAAAATGTACTTGTTTGCTCTCATAACTCTCTTGCAAACTGAAATAGATGGAACTAAGACATCTTTGTAGGGTCTCTTGCAGATCCTTTATATATAAGATGTTTTTTCACCTTCCTCCATACAGTTTGCTGTGGAATCTACCCAGAAAACCTGTAGTTGTCCATGAGAGTTAGGGACATCCATCTGAAAACCTCTTCCATGCCCAAAGCAGGTAGCTGGAGCTTCACTGTTCAGTGGTACTATGTAAGCAGGGAGCCCACCATCAGTATGACCAAAGGCGAAAGAATCAGGCTCCAAAAGATTGCTAATTAGGACATAATTATAACTTGAGAGTTATTTGTGAATAACTCTCACAAAAACACAATTTGTGAATTCAGAAGAAGTAATTTCTTTGCTTTGTGGTCTGTCAATACGTGAAAGTCAACATTACTATTTGTATAAGTTTCTATTCTGCTAAATGAGAGTAAGGTTTATTTAGCTTTGATTAACAGATATCAAAGGATGCATACCTAGTTTAAGGTACAAGGAGGATTCTTTGTGGTGCACATTTGCCTTGGTTTATGCTTATACTGCTGGCATGCGTGAAATGTTTCCATCCTGATGGAACGATCAGGTTTAGGTTATGTGTTGGGGGCCTACATGACTTGTAAAGCGGATGCAAAGTTCTCCAGAAATGAGCTCTATACTTGCGCATGGTGCATGCCTGCCCCTGGCAGCTGGCACAGACTGCGCTGCCTGCTAAGACTTGAGGTGCCAACATGCAGATCCCAGCAAATTGAACCCCGCTCATTCTTCACATCACACCAGTTGGTAGTGCGGATACAGCCAAAGTAATAATCTAGTAATGCAAGTGAACCAAGTTATATCTTCGTACAGAAAGTCTTCATTTTATCCTGTTGAAACTCTATATCCCTTTGCTCCAAATTTAATTTAAAAGCAGCTATAGGAGAAATTGCAGTAATCGTCTCACAATACTGAGGGGGAACATTAAGAAGGCAGTGGAAAATAGCAGGAACATGTGTCCTACTGTAGCATTGGTATCTATGACTTACATCAATCCTGTGGTATCTAGAATAGAGTATAACTGATTTTTAAATATTTTTGAATTTCAGATTTCTGCCATTTTCTTTGTATCACAAAAATGAGAAGTATGACCCATCAATTCATAGGTCAGGCAAATATGGCCAAGAAACTTATGGAATTAAACACTTCCGAGAAGTACAGCCTGAGAAGTGGGTAGCAGACAAGGTAAGTCACTGCAAAAATAAAAGAATGGTTTACTTTTTTAGATTGTTATTGTAGTAGAACTAAGTGAATTTGGAGCTGATCCAGAGATCATGGAATCCAATGGGAATCTTTCTAGCTTGTTATAAAATCACATAGTTAGAGCTGAAATGGTATGGCAGGGGTCCTCGACTCTCTTTCTGTTAAGTTCAATTTGAGGAAATTCAGCGCCTCTCCCGCCTACAAGATAAGGATTTAAAAGCCTGATTAAGCACAGCTTTGGTTATATAAGTTTTGCAAAGTTTTATTCTATCTGTATTGCCTTTTCTGATTTAAGAGAGATTGCATATTTACTCTTGCACATTAAGATAAACCTTCAGAAAATTATGGCAAAACCTGATTAAAAACAACAAAATATTTTACTGCTTACATTCTTTGGAAAATTCTAAAAATTAGTGAATAGCCATTTTTATTTTAAGATAGTCTCATTAAACTGCCTGCTTTGTCAGGAGCATCTCATATAGTTCTGGTTTTGTAGTGCTACAAGAGGTAACTTTCCTCAGAACACGTTCTAACACGAGTTTGTGTAATGGTTGCGTTACTTCTATTTGTATTAGGTATCATAATCACATTAAAATTTTCCAGTATGAGAAAGATAATGGACTTGATAGAGAGTGCAGCACAGAGCCACAAAGATAGTTAAGGGACTGGAACGTCTTTTGTAGGAGGAGAGGCTGAGAGAGCTGGAACTCCTCAGTCTGGAAAAGAGAAGGCTCTTATCAATGTGTATAAACACCTGATAGGAGGCAATGAAGAAGAGGGAGCCAGGCTCCTCTCAGACTAAGTAGCGCCCAGTGACTGGACAAGAGGCAATGGACACAAACTGAAATGCATGAATTTTCATCTGAATGTGAGAAAACACTTTTTTTTTTACTGTGAGAGTGACAGAGCGAATTTTCGTCTGAATGTGAGAAAACACTTTTTTTTTTTTTTTTTTACTGTGAGAGTGACAGAGCACTGGCACAGATTGCCCAAAGAGGTTGTGGAGTCTCCCATCCTCGGAGGTATTCAAAGCCCAACTGGACATGGTCCTGGGCAACCTGCTGTAGCTGAGTAGGGGGGTTGGACTAGATGGTCTCAAAAGGTCTCTTCCAACCTAAACAATTCTGGGATTTTGTAAGATATGATTACTTATCTCCCTGAAAGTAACTTAATCTTTTTAAATATATAACAAGTTCCAAGGAATCTTAGTTTGAGAAGTAATATTTTTAAAAAGAATTCTTTCTCAAAACTTTAAAAATGAGCTCAGAGTAAATTTTGGTATTTTAACATACATTAATTAAATCTCATTGCAAATAAAGGCACAAAGATCAACATTCAAACAAAAAGATCTGAATTTGTCTTTCAAAAGCAATGAGTGGAGGATATGACTGAATGAAGTCCCACAGCATAAGTATGACATATTAAAAAGATGTAAAAGTCTTATTGGTGGTACTCATCTTGTCCTGTAAAGACTCTTCCTTTTCCAGTCCTTAGCAGTTCTTGATCAGGCTCAGATGATGATATCAAACAATGTAAAGATCTTTATATTGTATATCATATCACGCATATATAACATTATATAAATTATGGGCTTAGCTGAAACAACTAAACTCACTTTACTTGTGATCTTGGACAGATTTCAACCTAAATCTCTAGAGGTGAATAGCTGTATACATTAACCCAACATGACATACAATCTTCCAACCCCAATTCTAATTTAATATGAAGTTTCAATTAGGAGCTGCTTCCCCAAACGGAGAGATAAGAGGAGAAAAGAGCTATGACCTACCTGCTGCTTTAATGGGTCATTATTATCAGGAAAAAAACCCCAAAACAAACTCCACCTCCGCACTACATTTTAATGGTAAAGGTCCTATAGGCAGGTGTGAGGTCATACTTTCATAACTGTTAAATTTGAAAAAAGTGTCACTTTCTTATTCCTAAACTGTATTAAAACTTTGTATATATCAGTGCTATGAACAAAGTTATCCTGTTCTAATGAATCACAAGGCTAAATGGCTTGTATCAAAATATTACCCAAAAAAATCAGATTTTTGCTTAACACTTTGTCTGCTAAGCACAGCCCTCCTTTGAGTTTGCCAGGAGGTGACAGTTTTGTGGATGCAACTTCTATTAAAACCCGAACATAACCCTGCCATGGTATATATTCAGCTTCTGACAGTATTATACTAAAGAAGTTTCTCTTATCATTGCTGGCAAGACAAACTACTGTGTAAGTTCTTCCAAGGAGTCAGTTCAGTGGTCAGTGGATCAGTGACACCTCTGAGCTGCTGAGGTATTATTTGATATTAGCTGCCTTTTTTTTTAAACGACATATAAAAAGTTTCCCTGTGTATGTACATGAGCATGTCCTAGTTGTATTTTCCTGAGGTTTTCATGTGTTTATAAATATGCATTTTAATTCAAGTCACAAAAAATTAGTATGTAAATTATATAATTACTTTAGAAGTAAAATGAACAACAATGAAAAATATTGCCTTGTTATATTTCTTCTGGAAAATGAAAGGGTATTAGCATAGACTTTCTCTAAACATAATAATTACCATATCTATGTGAGGAAAAGCTAATAGTTCTTTTCATCTAGTTATAATCTGAAAATTTTTATCTCATTCTGTTTACATTTCAAAGAATTTTCTGAGTTAAGGAAAAAACTGTTGTATTCTAATTCTTCATTAAAAATAAACAAGAAATGGAAATACTATACCTCTAGTGAAACTGGATCTAGTTAGTTTACCCAGTTGTAAATCACTATAAAAATAAAAATGCTTACATATTTTAAGTTTAATATCATATGTCTAAAAACCTTGGAATGCCTTTGATAGAATTTATATGAGAAGTATCAATATAAAAAATTTACCAGTCACTATGAATTTAATCTACAACGATAGGTTCCAATGTAGCTGGACAGTCAAGGGATCAAATACACTAACTATAATCTTTCAGTTGTCAAAACACTCACGTATGTTCATATTTACTGAGGCAGAAATGATACCTTACAGCCTTTAATCGGTATTGGAATTAGTTTGCATATGCATTTTTGAAAACTGACTTTAATGACAGCATTTAATGTTTTCTTATTTGCAAAATTCAGGAAGTGACATTTTAAGATGTTCCTTACTGATAGATTCTTTCCTCTGATGCCTTATTATAGGTGAATTACAGTACAACTGCATCATTGTTTCATTATTTGCACAGGCATTTTGGCCCTAAACACAATTTTATTATCTACAAAGCATAAAAATACCCAGTACTGCAAAGAATTAATTTAGAGAACCTAAGCATATTGCACAGAACATAAAGTTGACCTTTACCGTCTACAGCTTTTGGAATGGAGTGGGATGTGGAACACATCATAGATTTAATGTGGCACAACGCTGTCTGCAGAAACTTGGGTGGGACTGTGACTGCCTGCCCATTGCACCCGATGATTGAATCTGCTGTCACCAGCATCCTGATAATAATGAACATTCAGCTTAACGACCGTGATTATGATTATCATAATTGATGTGCAAGTGCAGTGTGTGGGGATCATTACAGCTGAACTGTACAGCAGAGAAACATGCCTTAGTTATGGATAATCTTACTTTTATGCATTGATTGGGATAAAATATGCCTTTCAAGTTCAACAGGCCAGCTTGATATAATTTTAGGAAGATTTCTACATATATGAATTGATGATTATTAGCTTCCTGCAAAACAGTCATTCTAGCTGTTTGTTTTGAATTGTTTCATTCCATTAATAATGGGAAATAATTAATAATTAGACATTGTTGAGTGGAAATCACTTATAGAGTACTGCCAGCATTAATCAATTATCAAGTTCAAATATTTCTGATTGTCATGGCCTTGTCTAGGCTAGGAAAAATAGCCCTTGTAATTCACCACCAACACAATTCTATTTTTGGTGGAGCAGTAGAAATTGGGCTGTAGTCAACACTATTGGCATTTTCACACTGTATTGTGTAGCCATTAGAGCAGGCAATAGTTGTTCCTTATATAAATTATATCGCTTCCATCTTTGTCACCAGAGGCAGAGAATTACAGGCTCAAATTCAGCCGGTGTAGATAAAGACACAGTCAACAGCTTCAGTAGATTTTGTTGGGCAGTGACTGCCTTCAACTGAGATTATATGAAGTTGCGGAAGTATTTAAGTTATGACATATATAACAGATAAACACCAGTGTGTGTACGTATTTTAAGCCGGTGTTTATATAAAGAATGTTATGACATAGGTATAATGCAAAGTATAGAGTTTCATTGATTTACACTGGGCGTAAATGTGGCTCTGTCCAGGAACTGGCAGAATTTCCTATGTGGGATAACAGAGATAACAGACTATGGAAACAATTCTTGATCTTTGACTTGCTTTCTACCATAAAGAAGATTGTACGGATCAAATCTCTATGAATGTCGCAACTGCACAATTCCTCTCATTTGACTTCACTAAGTTTGGACTTTCTATGATGAAAAAGAGAACTCCCTGTGTGTCCAAGGAATTCATCCTACTTTGTATAGTCTGCTGCCTCTGAAAGTTCAATAGGTTCTGTGGTTTTCATTGTTGCTGACACTATGGCCCAACTGGAATCACATTATTAGGTAGGGCCCTAATTTCCAGACATGTGGGAAGAGGTCCACAAGGAGAACTTAATATAGCCTGAAAATCTCAGTGCCTTAGAAAATGAGTGTGACTTTTCCACATGGCCATGGCCAACCCACTTTCTTCCACATTCTTCTGAGACCACTGTGTCCTGTGGTTCCACAGCAAATTTATCTTTGTATAGTATTACTGCGAGGGAAAGATAGGGCGGGGGGGAGAGGAAGTGATTTGTTCTGTTTGAAAATTAGTTTCATCCCTTATAGGACTAACAACATATTCACAACAATCACGTGTCTAGTGGATGATGTCATTGTGGCAGAATTGTTTGATACACTATTCATGCTTTTCCATCCCTGACTATAC